TGTGCATGTGATTTGACATTTCTTTATATTTACACGGTTTACTAATGCTGCTCAAATGTGCCATTAATGTACTGACACAAAAATATATTATTTATTTTATACAAATATAACTGATGTAAATGACAAAAACAAAGTTTAAGGCTGATATCTCTGTTAATTTTCACAGAAGCAAAGCAGCAGATGTTATAAATAAAAACAGTTAACAATGTTATTGAATAGAATTAAAACCGTTATTGCACGACATAGACCTATTCTAATAGGCTACACAGACAAAACAGTCAGAGATGCATTTATGCATTTTATTTTACGCACTAGTAGTAAATCAAGACTTCGCAAGTTCTCTTGTAACATAAAATAATACAAAAACAACATGGAATAAATTATGTACAGAAAGTGAGTAAAGAACTCTTAACAGGCTACTAAAAAGGTCAGTTTAATCTCGCAAAAACTCCCGTTAATAAAAAATCTGACTACACTGCACAATTAATCTCTTACACTGCATCTTTGTTTATGATGAATTCGGTGCTTGCACGTACACCGCTTTTATTATTGCAGCTTAGATGTTCAAATAGCTGCAGTACTCCGACTTTGCCACAAGGAAAAGTGTGTACGCCTGCTCAGACCCTGACGTGACGGTAAGTACTTTTCCACGTCAAAGACCGTTTTTATAAATATGAACGTTGCCATGGATTTTAGCGTATGCACACTCTAAGATCAAATCTGTGCGTACCTACATTTTATAAATGAGGCCCCAGGACATGAGATTTGATCGTAGCTACCGCTCACGTCCATATTGATAAATTCCGAGTTTTGCGTTGAAACGACTGTAGGCCCAATTTTCTGTCATACATTCGTTTCGTAAATAAGGCCCCTGTGTCCATCTGGAGTTGTTCTTCAAGTTGGTCTCACTGTAGGGGCAGTAGAAGAGCCCTGAAGTGGCTTCTGGGAAATGTAGAGCAGAGAACATTCACGTCATCCAACCTCAAAATCTCTCCAGCTATAGGGAGAGTTGTACCTGTTTTCTCCAGAGCTTCTGCGTATGGAGGCAATGTGGCCATTACGGATCACAGCGGGAGCCACACCTACCGCTCCCTCTACAAAAACAGCAAAAGCCTGGCAGGACTCATTACTAAAGCACTCACCTGTCAATCAGGAAACCTGCAGGGCAAGCGTATCTCATTCCTGTGTGCCAATGACGCCATCCTACACTGTGGCGCAGTGTGGATGTGTGGCGGCATAGCTGTGCCCCTCTACAGGAAGCATCCTCCAAGTGAGCTAGAATATGTCATCTCAGACTCCCAGAGCTCGCTGCTGGTAGCCGGACAACCTTTCATGTATAACCTTGAGCCCTTGGCCCAGAAACTAGGGCTGCCCTGCCTGCAGCTTCCCACCACGTCTAGCCTGGATACTCTACAGTCTGAGGACACACAGATGCTGCCTGAGGAGAACATCTCAGACTGGGCAGAGAGGCCAGCCATGCTCATCTACACCAGCGGCACCATGGGTAGACCAAAAGGAGTGCTTCACACCCACAGCAGCCTGCAGGCCATGGTGAATGAGTAGTTATGTTGTATATATTCATACATTCTCACAAATAGCACCTTTTTCCTTTTTAAGCTGCTACATGAAAATTGTATCATCCTTAAATAGTGATGTTGACCATGTCCTGTGATTTTTATGGATGCTTCTGTTTTGACAGAAGAGCAAAATCTTACAAAACAAAATCAGTTGGATGAGCCACATTTGAAGCTGTTTGGAAATAAAATTTGCTAACAGTTTTCAACTGCTAAAAGATAAAAAAAAAAAAATCTCATAGCCATGTCTAGGGAACAGAACATCAATAAAATAGCCATATCAAGGCCAAAAAAGCTTAAATGTTACATGTCTGATGTGGCTCTATTATTAAAAAAAAAATCACTCTAACGTAAATATATATATATATATATTTTTTTTTTTATCCAGCGTTAAGGGTGTTTTAGATGCCCTGCTTCGCAGCATGCCTACAATAAAACACCCCTTAAAGGGATAGTGCACCCAAAAAAGAAAAGTCTGTCATCATTTAATCACTCTCAAACTTGTATTTCATATTTTATGGGCAAGAAATACAATGGAAGTCAATCGGACGCCAGTATTTTTCATACCAACATTATTCAAAATATCTTCTTTTGTGTTCCACAGAAGTAAGTCATACAGGTTTGCAATGACAGTGAGGGTGAGTAAATAATAACAATTTTAAATAATGTTAAATAATAATGTTAAAATTAGTGTAATGCTAAGCCTATAATGGCTTTAGATTTTTTTTCAAATAGTATCATTGTAAACCGAAACCATGCTGCACAACATTGTATATATTCATTCTTGATGACACATATAATCAAATGAGAGGATCAGGAGTTTCACCTACTCAGAGGAATTGTTACATGAGGATTATTTACAGCTATTTTAGTGTGAGATGAATGATAGATCCTGAATTAGGTTGGATGAGAGCTGTAACTGTGGAATGAGAACCCCTCCCTCCCCTGATGTCATTGCGTTATTTTACTTTTGTTCCACTTCACGTCTCTGACTAATCATTCTGATTGTTTAATTTCATGGGCCACTCAAGGCAGTGTTTTTTTTTCCAGCAAAAATTGACCTGCATTTCCAATAGGGTGGAAAATTAGATCACTCTCAATTAAGAGGGAGCCTCTTCTGACAAGCTCAAGTGCCTGTGTTCCACTAAGACTGGACAGAGCTGCTACTGGTCAACTGTTTATCATTCTCACTAAAGTGTTTAAAAAGTAGTCTACTCACCACAGTGTCTAAGTTGTTAAACTCTTTTAGTTATTTTTCTATTATTATTTTATTATATAAAAATTTATATAATTTATATAAATATCTGATTATATACTGTAATTAATAAATGTATTTTTCAAAATCCATACATTGTAGCTAATTTAATTCAGAATTTATATAATATAATAATTAGGGGCCAAATTTACTAACAGTTTGCACCAGCGCAAACCGTCTTTTGCCATTAAAATAGTGCTGTCAGGATTGACTAAAAACGCCGCAGTGAAGAATTGGCGCTGAAAAGGTGTGGACACAGTTATTTGTGCGCCTGCCTTATTGAATATTAATTTGTAGAAATTTCCCTTTCAGACACAAAATTTAGGGGAAGAGAGTATTAAAATAAATCAAGCAACGCGATTTACTAATGTGTGCGCTCGTCAATTTACTGGTATTTGTGCCATTATTTAAGGCTTCGAAAAAGCATGTCTTAAAGCAGATGCTAATTTTCGCTGCTCTTGGTAGATTTTGTTGGTCATTATGGAAAAGGCTGCGTCTGTGTTCTTTAATTTGCGCATTGTCAATAAATCACCCGCAGAAATTTCCTCTCCCATTAGCGCTCTCACGCTAATTTGCCCTGTTTAGTAAATCTGGTCCCAAGTCTGTAAATCCCTGTCATAGACTATGGGTACATAAAAATTAGTTTTTCCGTAACATTTACAATTGTGGTGAACTGCATTTTGTCAGTGGTGGACAGTAACGGAGTAGCTTCGTTACTGTACTTAAGAACATTTTTCAAGTATGTAGTTTACTGGAGTCTTTTTATTTTGAGTAACTTTTACTTTTACTTCACTACATTCCAAAGCATAAGATCGTACTTTTTACTTCACTACATTTCATAAAACATATCGTTACTCCTTATAATATATCACATGCTCTGACACGCAGAAGCGGTGTCTGATTCAAGAACGAACTGATTCTTTTCAATGAACCCATTAAATCGGTTCGCAAATCGCACCAAACGATTCATTAACGAATTAGAATGAACCGATTGCAGTTGTTCTCGAGTCGACAACTCACTGATTCAAATGAACCATTTAGTGCG